GGCAAAAACAATCGTACTCAACAAGCTTCTTTTGATCGTTGAATGCTGGAATAACCTGAAGGTCTCTTCAGCATTCATTGAGGCTTAGGCAGTCTTCACACATGTATAGACCAGGTTGTAATCACTGAATACCGCTTCAGATTACGAACTCGCCAGTCTCTAATATTAATTTTCAGCCTTCGACTTTCGCTGAAGGTTCTTTGGTGTGAGTTTTGTCTTCTTGAAGTATCGTTGTCGCTGATGGATTTACATTACATGTTCCCAACGATCATTGAACAAACTTAGTGATGATCGCTGGAACTGAAAGACATAAACATAAATACTTCGTATAAGGTAAAAGGGATTATCATCAAATCACTGAGAAAGAGGATCAATACTAAGTCTAAAAAAGAAGACTTCAGAGTTCAGACTCCAGAGTTCGGGTGAGCTACATCTATTTAAGTCTGAAAAAACAGACTTCAGAGTTCGAGTGAGCTAAGTCTTTAGAATGACTCTTTATACTTGTACTCTTGAAATAACTCTAAAATATAACTCTGAAAAATGACTTCAAACTTGTACTCATGAAATAACTCTGAAGTAAAACTCTGAAGAAATGACTTCAGATTTGTACTATTGAAATAACTCTGAAGTATAACTTTGAAGAATGACTCTTCAGACTTGAATTTAGAAACGAAACTATCAATAATTAGTTAAAATGAAGTTAACCCTAGAATAAAATTTTAATTTAGAAATGAAATTATATCAGTAAATTGAATTTAAACTTAGAAGTAATTTAAAATGACTCTTCAGACTTGTACTCTTGAAATAACTCTGAAGTAAAACTCTTCAGACTTCAGACTCTGTATAGGCAAGCATACAGAGCGCCTGTGTCAAATCTGAAGACGAAATCTGAAGATCTTAAGTTCATAGTTATTCAAATACTCAATATCTTTGAAAAAGACCTTATGGTAAAGTTTGCATCATACAGAGCAAAACCAACCAGAGCTCCTATGACATCCAGAAGCCAGACCAACCAGAGGGGCTCTGGCTTACAAGACTAAGTCTAAGTCTTAAAGACTTATCTTCAAAATCTAGATAAGTTTATTACAAGACTTGTACTCTTGAAATTACTCTGAAGTAAAACTCTTCAGACTTCAGAGCTCTGTATAGGCAAGCTAGAAGCTCTGCATGCACTATGCAGAGGCTCTGCATGGTGTCCGTTTGTAAAAGAAGACTACAGAGTTCGAGTGAGATAACTTTGAAGAATGACTCTTCAGACTTATACTCTGGAAATAACTCTGAAATAAAACTCTGAAGAATGACTCTTCAGACTTGTACTCTTGAAATAACTCTGAAGTATAAACCAATCCCATTAAATCAGAGTTCAGACTTCTAAATCTGGAAAAAAAAAAAAAAAAAAAAAAAAAGAGTTAGAGTTCAGATTTTGGAGTTCGGGTGAGTTAACTCTGAAGAAAGACTTTTCAGACTTGTACTCAGAATTATAGAAGACTTTAGAGTTCAGAATTCTAAGTCTGAAAAAGAAGACTTCAGACTTCTTTTTCTAAGTCTAAAAAAAAGACTTCAGAGTTCAGACTTTTTAAGTCTGAAAAAGAAGATTTCAGAGTTCAGACTTAGAGTTCGGGTGAGTTAACTCTGAAGAATGACATCAGACTTGTTCGCTTGAAATAACTCTGAGGTAAAACTTTTCAGTAAATTGAATTTAGAATAAAATGAAGTTAACCCTACAATAAAGTTGAATTTAGAAATGAAACTATCAGTAAATTGAATTTAAACTTAGAAGTAAACACCATTTTTTTTTTGGAATCAGTTACCACACAAATTAATTAACCAAAGAATAAAATCAGTTGCATTCTTAATTAGTAGGATTGATTGAATAAGAAGACACATGTCAATCAAATGAATATAAATGAACTGTTGATATACATTGTGTCTAGATACATTCAAATGAGTCTAATTGAACCATTAATGTAAATTGTTTCTAGATACATGCTTAGGCGGGAAAATAAGACAACCGACTCATCCGAAGATGACACGTGTCACCCAAGTTACTTATTTATTAGATGTATAGATATATAAGAAGAAGAAGAAGAAGAAGAAGAAGAAGAAAGCGGCCCAATGTGGTAATTTTAAAAATTTGTAAAGAGAAAGCAAGTTTGACCCAATTTGGATTTGGTGTTGCATAAACAACTTTTACATTGTGCAAAATATTTTGTAATTAAGAGATTTTTGAATTCTTCCATAAAATGATGGTATTATATGCTTTAAAACTTGTACTTAAGATACAAGTCTAAATGCTTATTAATGTAGTATATATATATATATATATATATATAACAAAATATTTTTTCATAAATGGTAAACATTTTTTTTCTCATTGAATGTTAATTTTATTGTTATTTGTAATTAAAAAATTAATTTTTTAAAAAATATTAAAGAAAATGTATATTTGTTCTTTTTCATCATTCTACTTCAATTCTCTTGGAAACCAAACAGTCAGATTCCAATTCATTAGGCAGATTACATTTCATTTCTACCAACCAAACACTTGATCAAACTTGATAACATTTCATTCTAATTTCTTCTAGATTCTAATTTTTTTAACAGATTTCATTATTTCATAAATTATTTTACGAACCAAACATAACCCAAAAAGTATTATGTTGTAATCATGGTCGTGGACCTGGGCCTCAACCCAACTTGGCCACCCTCTATTATCTTTAAGTAACAAAATATGAGAAAGAATTATCTAAATCTATATAACTAGAACGATACTCGCGCAATGTAGCGAGATATATCTTGATTTTAATGTTTCATTTTATTATTTATCTCAGTCGATGGTCTTATGTGATTTTGAAAAACGATGATGTTTTTATTTTTAAATAAAATATAAACTTGAGGATATCATAAAAATTTGACAAAATATATCGATATTAGTATTAAATTAATTATTTAAAATTCCAATTTTTTGTGTAATTTTTTAATTCAATTTTTTTATTATAATTTAATTTGGGTTCAATAACGAAGTAATTTATATTTTGTTTAATAATATAATTTTCTTATAAATATAATAATCAATTATTTTGTTAGAACTCGATAATTGTCCTAATTATATTTTAAATTTTCTATATTTTATATTTTTTATATTTTAAAATAAGATGTTTATCCTCTATTTGATTATGTTTATCTGCAGTTAGTTACACGAATTCAAACATGGAGCTTTAATAAGTTGTACTTATACATAATTTACTTGTAATCTTGAATTTTAAGTAATATGCATAAATATACAGTACTTCATGCATAAAAAAATGGTTTTAAGAGTTTTTGTCAAATGCTTTATAATATAGTATAGATAAAATAAATTACAGATTTCGTCCTTGTGGTTATATGAGAAGTATCGATTACTTCTTCCAAACAAAATAATTTCATTTAAAGTCATTGTGGATTAAATTTTCTTAGACGAATATTTTAATTTACTCTATCTATACTATATTATAAAGCATTTGACAAAAATTCTTAAAAAATATTTTTTATGCATGAAGTACTGTATATTGATGCATATTACTTAAAATTCAAGATTACAAGTAAATTATGCATAAATACAACTTATTAAAGCTCCATGTTCGAATTCGTGTAACTAACTGTGGATAAACATAACCAAATAGAGGATAAACATCTCATTTTAAAATATAAAAAATCTAAAGGATATTTATCGAGTTCTAACAAAATAATTAATTAATATCTTTATAAGAAAATTATATTATTAAACCAAATATAAATTACTTCGTTATTAAACCTAAATTAAATTATAATAAAAAATTGACTTAATATTTTATTTAAAAAATAAAAACATCATCGTTTTTTTAAAATCACATAAGACCATACTATAATATCGACTGAGATAAAAAATAAAATAAAATATTAAAATCAAGATGTATCTCGCTGCATTGCGCGAGTACCCTTCTAGTATAATATAATAGGTTTTTATTCCCCTGGGGATGACTTCGGTACCGGACCGGTTGGTACCAAAACTTAATGAATGTGGCTGAAAATGAGGACCGAAAACCGAACCGCTTGTACAAATTCGGTACCGGTTCGTAAAACTCAGGACTAGGACCACTTGGGACCAAAAATTGAAAGTGTGTAAAGAAGCAATCAAAACCAATCACGAATCAATCGCAAAAGTTCAACAATCAAAGGAAATGGAAGCCGATTTTTTTAGATGCTCGAAACCTTATGATCAAAGGGAATAGGAGCCGATTTTTTGATTGATAGTTATTAGGGCCGATTTTTTGATCAAAGAAATAGTTATGGAGAAGGTTTTAGGAGAATATATGGATTAGTTTAAGAGAAATTATAGTTAGTTTAGGAGAAGATATGGATTAGTTTATGAAAAAACATAGATGGGATAGGAATAGTCAAGGTCCATTAAAATCCAGTTTGGTTCAAGGTTTTTTCCGGGAAAAGTGGTTGGTACCGCGACCGAATAACCGATTTCCGATTTGTTGTATTCTTGGAACCGATAACCAAACCGATAACATGACTTCAGTACTTTCGGTCTGGTCCCGGTTCGGGACAACTGGTAGTCTGAGTTTCATCCCTACATTCCCCTACAAGCACATATTTCTTTTCCAGGTTAAATTGGTCCCATTTTAATTAACAAGACTGAACCAAACAGCCCATGACAAATTAGCTTACAATTTCCAAAACGAAGGACCATTGAAGAAAGCATAAGTACGGATCGAAAGAACCACAAAGTGATGCCTGATTAGTTTGAACTTGGCTCCAAATATCAAAAGTACCTGGAGGTCCCAGGTTCAAATCCAAAAGAGGAATAAAATTCCCCTTGTAGCCATGGAGGTTCAATCGGTGACTCCGGGCTATCTGCAAAGCAGATGGTTGCCCTGAGATTAATCGGCTCACATAGCCGGTTGGATATCCACGTTAATAAAAAAAAAAGTATGGATCCAAAGGCCTCAACTTAAATTCTGATCATGATGTAATTGTAACCTCCATTGCACTCCTCAACACAATATTTAAAGAAACAAAAACAGCAATTCATATATATACCAACTGAACTGAACTGAACTAGACACAAGTTACAGATAGCTCCTGATTTTGAGCACCAAGATGATGCTCTCCACTCCATTTACCATCAAAATCTTTCAGTTTTGTAGCATATCTTATAATCATATTTTGCCTTTGGCCACCCTAATTTAAGACATAAAACACTAAATGTTTGTGTGTTCTTTTACCATCATAACCAGAAAAGCCAAAAGCATCACCACCCGCCCGCCTTCTTCACTTTTTCATATACCATCTCCCAACAGTTAGTTTCGTGCTCCGCCATAAAAATCAAGCACATTTCACAATCCCATCTACTTAAAACACACAAAAAAACTATAGTAACTTTAATCTTGCATTTTGGCCTCTAATAATACGATAAACTCTCAAGTATTATAATAAAACAGCATATTACCTCTTTAGTCTAGATCTTCAATTACGTCAGGTAGTAGCCACCCACGTCATCCACAAGATAGTTAAATGCTGCATTTCCTCCATAATCAATACCATCATTTGCAGCTATTATTGGCTTGGAGGAATTCTCTTTCTTTCCCCTCCCTTTACCAGACCTTTTAATGTTGTTCTCTAATGGAAACTCAGCGGTAAGCCTTCCCATTTGCTTTTGTAGATCAGCAACTGAATCATTAGCAATCTTTCCCTTTGGACTTTTTTTGCCATCAACAAGCTTCAGTTCCAACCTATACAAGGCACAAGCATCACATTTGCTGATCTCATACTCGTAGAGATGCCACTCCAAAAACTTCATTGGCTGTGGGTCCATATAATAGGATCTCTTCAGCCACCCAGATTCGTTAATCACCTGTTTTCTTGATTCATGCCAACCACGCCCGTTGTAATCTGGGAGTGATCTCTGTTTTCTGTTCCCACTCTCAAATGCCCTTCGAGGCTTGTCAAAAAACAACCACTCTCGTATTGTCTCACCCTCAAAAACTGAGAGATCAAAGAGCTCTGAAACAAGATGATCAATAAAAGGGGAAAACGTCAAGTATAGAACATAGGATGGATGAAAATTGCCACAACAGACTAAACTTTATAGGCCATGAAATATATCTAAATATCCTAATGGACTGCTTGATAGGACTTAAGTTTATAGGAACAAACAATAATGCGTCCGATGTGAAGGTGTTACAATAAGTTGATATGTGTTTTTGGACTTCCTAACAAGTTTTTTAGATATAGTTTTTGAAATAAAACATCATATTAGTCTTTTTATATAATATTATTTGAAAATGCTTCTTATAAAAACAAGTGTCCTCTAAAAAAATTTGTTAAATGTTCTATAAAAAACTAATAGAACATTTTATTTCAAATTTGTCCGGAAAAACTTGGTAGGACATCCGAAAACGTCCTATCAACTTATTATAACACCTTTATATAGGACGCACAACTGTTTGGTCCTATAAACTTTTATTGAAAGGATTCGGTCTCATGAACGTAAGTTTAAAACTGTCTGTTAAGACATTTAAACATAATTGGTGTCCTATAAAACAATTTTTTTTGCAGTGTGCATGACAAGAAAGGAAAGGAAACAAAACGAAACTAACCAGGTGCATTCCATGGAGATTTTGCAGTAGCTGCCCCCTCACACTCCGGAACACCAACATCCTTTCCCTGAAACTTGGCACTAAGCGCAGCAAAAAGCAAAGTATCCTTCAACTCAATACCTTTAGGTCGTATGACGGGTGTCATCCCAAATCGGCCTTCATTTTGAGCAATTGCAGCATGCAAGCTGCTGCAATAGTCAGGAAACCAGCCTTGAACAGGCCTCTCAGAGCACCAGCCTTGTGTAGCTGGTCTGGGACAATCCCAAAGAGCACATTTTGGTCCCAAGAAAGCAGAAGGGGGAGGACAAACAGTAGGCATAAAGCCAGTCATCTGGGGTAAAGCATCTTCTCCCCTGCAGAGACCCATGCCATCGAACCCACTAAAAAAGTTCTGCTCAAAGTCTTGAGGCAAATCATATGAAAAATAATCCAACTGAGTAGCAGTAGCAACACCCATATTATGTACTCCTATATTGTTAACACCTGAAGCAGATCCTTTGCATTGACCAACCAACTGGAACCCTTGTTCCTGACCTGTCTGAGTAACAGCAAAATCCTGTAACCCATTATACTGTTCATTAGGACTCCATATGAAGTGTGTTGTAACCCCTTATTAGTTAAGACAATGGTTCTCATAGAACAGTACAAGTGAAGTACTATGACATACAATTGCCATTTGTTGAAATTATAGCAAAACAAGTCTAAAACTATTAACATAATATGTGCACACTTAAAGATATGAAATGCTCTCCAAGAAGATTAGAAGCAAAACTTGAGCTGAAAACAATAAGCACACAAAATCTCGGGCTGTTGTGTCTAGTAAGTGAGAACTAATATGCGATAGAAATTTTTCTGTTTGTGTGAGAAAGTGATAGAATTTTGTAAGTTTAGTAACTATTTACCTATTACGCCATGAACATGGATATTTATTTCAATCCAGTTAAAGCACAATAAAAACAAGTGCCATAAAAGTCATAGTTGTCAACCATAGAGATGGATAGTTTATGCCAAGAAAAGAGGGAAAACGATTGTTTAAAACAAGTTCAGATGGTCTTAACTAAATCATAAAGAAAAGGCATGTACCAAGTACATGATTATGAAACAGAAACTACAGATATCAAACATTTATAGAACAAGGGCACCCTATGAATAAGAAGGCATAGTAAATGATGATCCAATGGTCAAGGAGACCATAATGACATAGTGTAAGTCATCTTTGAGGTAAAATAGTGAGGTTGTATCAGAGGTTAGGATCCATGAGCAACCTTATTGTTGCCTGAACACCTTCATAGAAAAATGCAAGTAATAATGGGCAAAACTTCTCTTCTCCTTGGAAGCCAATGGAAGTCACTGATGTTAGGACTACATACTAAAAGAGAGAGTAGAATCTAAAGACATTAGAGGAGATACAGTTTAAAGCTTTACGTCCTAAAACGTTTAATAATATAACACACGATGCTCTCATTGTGTGGCATAAATTGAAGAAAGTTTTAATAAACTTCATCTAGCACCTCTCTGTCAAGTCCATTGAGGGTTAGAGCACAGAAGATACAAAACGAGTATATCAGTTATCTCAAATTAATGTCAATTAGAGGCATCAATACTTTCTCTATCACCAAAACGATCCTTGTGTGATTCAAATCTAAGCATTAAGTTGACTTCTAAAAGTCAAAAGTGGACTCCTATTGAGTTGAATCTTGCTCTTTTATCATTTTCTTACAATGTACAAAGCAACAACCCATGTGGCATTCACCATAATAAGAGGGAGTCTTCGCACCAGCCTATAACAAAGATAACAATAAAATACTCTTTGCACCATTAGCCATATAATCAAACCAACATTGTCTCTTCCATTTATTGGCAAACAATAATTTCCTGCATGATATGCCATGGAAGAAGGGCAATCATTTCATGTTTGGCAACCTTTTGAGTATCAGATAATATGCTTGCACTTAATTGTCTTTTCTGAACTTAATACGGATGCTGGAACAACCACAATTTCTGTTACAACATATACGAGTTACAAACTTGAGACATTGCTGGTTTGGCATGATAGTGATACTCCATCCAATAAATATAACGCACATAGGAATAATAAGTGACATATGAGCATCATTTTGGCGTTAAGCTTGATTATGAAAAATTGTTTTCTTCAATTAAAAAAATCAGTAACTATATTAAACCATTCTTAAAACAAAAATGAAATCTGGCGTTATAAAATAAATTGTTCATGTCAACTCTGAATTTCAGAAATAATAGATTGAATTTCAAAACAAAACTGTAATCTTCTTTTGAGATGAGGGAATACAAAACAAAAAAGAAAAGGGAAGAAGCTGCAGAACTGATCCTTCCAACAGAAACAGTGGGGTTAGGATCTCCAGGAAAGATCAGTTTAAACTGAAGACCCAACTCTTAAAAATGGATCCCATTTGACCCACCCATTTAACCCAGCATATAGTTCAAGGGAAAAACCATGGATAACAGTGCCAGCATAAAAAATTAATGTATAAATCATAGGGTGATAAAGGCCGAGGTTTGGCTAAATGGCATTTGACAATTAGACGCTTCATAAACATCTCATTTCTGGGCAGAACAGAGTTCTCTTAAACGTTTATCCTAAGTAAGATTATAACCACTCAGAAATCACATATCCAGATGTATTCATTTTTCAAACTGTCATTAGAATTTTTATTCAAAATAGATCATTTGCTTTAAGCCTCTAACTAAAGCATGATGCACAAGAGATCTTTGGTTTTGAAGCACATACTTAGGACTAGAGGATAACAAGTAACACAAAGAAGAAACTATCAATGCAAAAAAAAAAAAAACCTGGAACAAGGTAGAACTCAGTGATCAGGAGAGCAATTATTCAAGATAAAAACAGAAAGCTGGTTATCAACTAGACGAAAAAAGAAATGCAAACACAAGAAAGCTGGAAATCATGAAGGATCATTAATTTGTATAACTCTAAATTTATAAAAGACGGGCAAAGTGCTCAATTGCAAATGACTCTATAACTAGGTCTAACAATGCATGCGCTAATAAAAGCACTCAGCAAAAAGGGTATGACATCACCCTCTGGAATGTCCCCACTTATCGGCCCCCACTTTACCGGTCCCACGTCCATCATAGGGGAGGTAAATCGCATGTCCCAGGCGCAGGTGGGTGGTGCCTGGAGCCAAATCCAGACCTCCCACTCATTCTGCAAGGATACCCACCTCCTTACTCGTTAGGCTAAAGCCCCGGGTACTACAGAAGCACATATGCACCATAAGGAACTCCCTACTATAGCCTGCAATATCATTCGTGAAGCATGGATAAGTGATTTGAGTTGAGGTGTTCACAACAACTCAAGGACTAAGAATGCGCAATTTTGCCAAAACAACATGAAAACCTCATTCCATAATCAGATTGTTCCATTATTCTACCAATGTCCTGTAAACTTATCAGCTACTTGCCAGCATCAGAAGATGTACACAAATCTTAAGTAAATAGATCACCATAACAGATGGTCACCTCATGAAAAGCTGCACTTTCACCAGCTTTATGACAATCAGGATCAGGTTTCGGGGCAGCTAATCCACTGGTTGCATCATCTTCCTCATCGCATAGTTGCAGAAGCCTACTTATGTCTGGTGAGAAAGGGCCCACACTTGCACCCTGCTTCAAAAAGTCAAGGAAATTAATATCCCCATCGATAGTGCAAATTAAATCCATTAGCATCCTAACCCACACTAACACAGTATCTAGCAAGTACTCTTTGCTTTCACAGACAAGTTCACTAGAGCCACTGAGTACCAGAAATAATCCCCACACCACGTGGTTACAAACAAAACAAACTGATGAATGGTAAAGAAGCCTCATTCCTAGTGATACTACTCATGCCACCCTTCCCACACTACAGATTGTACCATATTACCAACAGAGGCGGAACCAGAATTTTTTAGTGGTGACACAAAATAATTATAGTTACAAATTACAGTACAAGAAGATAAGAAATCAGATCCAATTTTAATGATTTGCGAAACACAATGGTGGCACTTGTAAAAAAATTCACCAGCATGAAACGTTTAGTGGTGGCAGAGGACCCACTAGCTTGTAAATAAATCCGACCCTGATTACCGACATACCAGCACAGTCATGCAACCCAAACAAGACCTACCCGTAAACAACAAGAAGATAATTTAACAATATGCCAAACCTGTTGCAAAGAAGAAGCAGGTGAAGGCTCGTTAAGTTCATTCTTCCATTCTTTGAGCATCTGATTAACCTGTTCTTCAAGCACAACCACATCAATGCTACGGCTCTCCTTCCTTGCGGACTGCAGATCCGTAAACATTCCATGGAGGTCCTCCACGCGGTTCTTAGCCCTATCCTTAAATATCTGGTGGGACCCCAACTTGCATTTGGTACCTTTCCCCATTCAAAACCAATAAAATATAACCTAATCCTTCGCTGATTGGCTCTTCTGAATTCTCAATGATCGCCTGTCACACATCGACACCAAAAAACCCTCAATTTCATACAATGAAACGCCGTAGAGATTATAACAACTTGGAACTCAACACCCTAATCGCAAACCCTAGCAAAGACCATAATCCAGCAAAAATCACCCCGATATACTAAATCAACGAACAAAAACCAAACGAAATACAATCATAAATAGAAAATTCACAAAAGTGTTACCAAACAAAAAAAGAGGAGATCGAAGCGTAAATTAGGGAGAAGAAAAGAAATTGATCCAAGATTACTACTACCTTTTTGATAGTGAAATCAGCGAAAGCAGAGGGTCGAGCAGAGAGAATTTGCCACTCTTTTACTGCTGTGGGTGTCTTCTCTCTCTCTCAGGAATTTCTGGTTTTCTAGATTTGCTTTAATCTCCAAAGAAGCAAAAAAGTGCGCACCCTACGCGGCAAAAGTTAGGAAAATACCCCCAAACCCCCCAATCCCATATACCAACCTCCAATTGTCATTGTAATTTGTCCAAGAGAAATGAATTCTAATTAAACAGAAATATGAGATGAATTGTATTGAGAATCATAAAACAATCTTTTAGGGAGCATTTGGTACAATGGACATGATAGAACAGAACAATGATTCTTGTCTCATGTTTGACATGAATTTTATGTGAAACAGACAGGAACAGAATGGAAAAAATGGAACAAGCCCGTTCCACCCCTATCCCATGGAACAGAAACTTAAATCTCAAGAACTCTCAAGTTCTTAAATCTACTTTTCAATTCTTAACTCAGTATTTCTTTAAAAAAAGACTTTACGTGACAACCGTTTTGAAAGAAAACAACAGTATCTTTCTCAATTTATAAACCACATTTGAGAGATACAAAATACCCTTTCTCAACATAAAACAGTTTAAAACTGTTAAACAACATTTGTGAAAAATCACAGTTTTTAAATTACAATACTTGGGCGATAAATGCCCCTTATCGGCCAACACATTGGCCGATGACCCCTTCCTCATCGGACAACACTTATCCGGACAACACTATCCGAACAAGACTTGAATTGGTAAACTTACTCACCAGTCATACTATCCGGTAATAATCTCATCGGATAACACTATATCCGGTAACCAACCTCACTGTTCAACATCTATCCAGTTAACTATCTCACCGGTCAACACTTTACAATATAAGGAGTTAAACAAACTAAAGCTTTGTCTGATGAGCATCCTCATCGGACAAGGCATGCTCGATCACATTCCAATCCGGTCAACACTTAAAAGTTTTAAATACTAAATCATTAAACACTTGGGAAATAAAATGTATAACTGGATACTCCTGTCCGATAAAGGTCTTCACCGGACAGAACTGTGTCGATGAGTTAAAACACTCAACATCACACCGGTCAAGGCTTGGCCGGTACCCTCATTAGACAGCACTCTGTCCAATTACAGGCCCTTATCGGCCCATAAACTCGTAAGAACAAATATACAAAATGCAAATACATACACCAGCAGATTCTTAAAACCATGAAACCAATATTCATAATCAATTGCAAAGTTTGAATTGTAGTAAAACTCACCTTTATGCAAGAATGAATTGAAGAAGAAAGAAACACTTAGGAAGTAGCTTCACTTTGATCCCAATTCCTAGTTTCCAAATTTAACAAGTATTTTCACACAAATTTCTCTCTCACATATTTCTTTCCAAAAAATGGCGAAAAACCTTTGATGGGTCACCTATTGATTTGGTGATGACCCACTGATTTGTTCCTCTATCTTAACAACACTTAATAGTTATTGGTTTCTTTGTATATTGGTCTCTTGGTATATACTTAAGCCATTGGCAAAATCGAAGACTAGCCAATGTGAAGACACAAGGTCACCGATGCGGTGTTGTAGATCAACTGTCTAATATACATACTAAGACTCCTGAGTAGTTGAATTGAAGATTGAAAATATTTTGAAGCTATAAGCCGATTGAAGAAAGATCTTCAATGACCAGAGATTGAAAATCTTCATAGACCGAAGATTAAAACTCTTCATGGACCGAAGATTGAAGATCTTCATGGACCAAAAACTTGTGAGTAGCTGTTTGAAGCTACTAATCTATCCAAAGAAGATTTTCCTACAGAATGACCATATCTCTACAAAAGTTTGTCTTTGCATGAAAAGTTTTGTATGCATGTTGTGTACGAAGAAAATGAGATATCAACAATGGTCAAGTCAACCCTTGCCTTCTTATCCTCAGGTGACAAGTGTCCCCATGTATTAAATGTTGAAGGTAATATAAAAGGCAGTGTGCATCTCCCATGCACACCACTAGCTTTTGAAAGATCACTTAGTGCATTCTCAAGGCAATCGGTTATTCTCTTCTACTCCCTTGCTCTCCTGTGTGTGAAGAAAAACTTATTGTTCTTAATTTCCTTTCAAGAACTCTTTGTGTTGTTCTTGTAAGTTCTTCTCCTTGTAAGATTGTTTAGGTTAGGTTTTCCTTTCCTATATTCCACAACAATCTTTTGTATCTTTGTGTGTTAATTCATGATATACATCAATAAGAATTAAAAAGTTAAAAAAAAGTCTATGTAATTGTATTCAACCCCCCTCTACAATTACTTTCTGTTTATTGTTATCCCCTTCGGGACTAACAATTGGTATCAAAGCGGTTAGCTTAATCTCATAACCTAGATCTGCAATGGCCTCTTCTTCTTCCAACTCTGCTCCTTCCAACTTTGCTCCTTCTTCTTACCACGACAATGGCACTATTGCCAAACCTCCCAAGTTTAACAAACAACTTTCCTATGTGGAAAAGTCGCATGACACTCTTCCTTGAGGATGTTGATAGTCATATCTCTCTATCCTCAAGGATGGACCCATTGTTCCTAAAGTACGGCTTCATCATGGAAAGAACAAAGATGAAGGTAACTCTTCAAATGATTCTGATGATGAAGAAGAGAAATCTGACTCTACTGGAAGGTTCATCATCAAAGATCCTTCACAGTACAATGAAGATGACAAAAGGAAAGTTTCCTTGGATACCAAGGTAAGGGCTATCATTTCCTTTTCTCTTCCTGATGATGTTTTCCACTCCTTGGTAAACCTCTCTATTGCTAAGGACATGTGGAACACTCTCTGTGTTCTGTATGAAGAAACCATCAAAGTAAAGAAAAGCAAGAAGATTGGCCTCGTTAGGCAATATGAGCTCTTTGTGCATAGGAAAGATGAATCTCTCATTGAGTACTACAACAGGTTTAACAGCCTCCTCAATGATCTGAAGTTTCATGGCAAAGTCTATGAAAATGAAGAAGTCTTGTGCAAGTTCATGGACTATTTACCAGACTTCTAGGAAAACATATGTACTTGTATCAAGACAAGCAAAGATCTTGAAAATATGCCTTTTACTGCTCTTTATGGAACTATCCATAATTATGAGCAAACCAAGCTTTTGAAAAAGGCATTATTAAAGAATCCCAAAACTTCTTTTGTTGCTCTTCTCTGCAAGGATACGAGGAAGCCAGTCAGTGAGCCTCGTATAACTTATCTGACTAAGTCTAAAGAAGATGTTGTCAGAAAAGAAGAACTTGCTGAAAGTTATGCTGATGAGGGTGATGAACCCACAATTAATGACTTAGCTGAAAACATGGCCATGATGGCTACCAACTTCAAAAGGTACGCCAAAAAGGGTTCTCCTAAATTCTCTCCTAGATCTAAGGTCACCGACCGTAGAACCTTAGATCAACCTAAGTCAGCTCCTCTTGATCTGTCCAATGAGGAGTGTTTCAACTGTGGCAAGAAAGGTCATTTTGCTGCTGAGTGCAAAAGCAAAAAGATCTCTAAGCATCATCCTTCTCAACCCTCTAGCCGATCCTCTCATGACAAGTACAAAGCAAAGTACAAGAGAGAAAAGGCAAAGAACCAGAGCCTTCAGAGAAAAGGTAAGGGTCTCATGGTTGAGACTCTTGATTGGATTGATGAGCCAACCTCTTCCTCCAGTGATGAGGACATGGCACATCTGTGCCTTATGGCCAAAATTTAGGAGATACACGACTCAGTAAAGGTGTTATAACCGGGTCCTGGGTTGAGGTAATTTATACATGCTTATTATGAGGATTACGTGAAATATGCATGTCTAAGTTGAAATACATGATATTRTGTATGTGTATATGTGCAAAGATGACATGAYGCATATGATTTATACATGTATGCATGTGGTGTGAAACATGCATAAGGTGGTSTATAATTRTGATAAATTATTTGGGTGGACATTATTTTATTATTTAAAAGCTTATATCTTCATGGTTAAGAAACCATGAATTTTATAATGCAAAATCCACCGCCCAAAGTTATTTCTATTGGACAAAATCTTTCACCGCCTTTGAAGTTTTATTATTAAAATCCTCCACCGCCTAGGTGAGGATATTTAAAGAAGAGTTTGATAAGGTTATCCTTATCACTGTCACTCTTTTAGAAAAGAACCTGTGTGTGTAAGCTAAAGTGTTCTACAATATTCTGTGTTAAGAATAAGCTGTTGTTGTGTGTTTATCAGCAAGAAATCTGTTTGATAAGGTGAGTTTTAAACTACTGTTGAGTATAAACTATGAGTTTTCTTTTAAAACTACCTTTGTTTATAAATTGTGAGTTTTAAACTACTGTTGAGTATAAACTGTGAGTTTTCTTTTAAAACTACCTTTGTTTATAAACTATGAGTTTTCTTTTAAAACTACCTTTGTTTATAAACTGTGAGTTTTATTGTTGATTATATGCTATGAGTTTTTATGTTGGTTTTGAAGAAAAGATGGTAAAACTATTTTGATAGTTTTAAAGGTGTTACTGTTATTGTTGRAAAGATAAAGAGGAGTTTGCTTCTTTAAAACAATTTTGGAAATGACATCCTGTTCTGAGGATTTTAAAAGGGATATGAAGTTTTGGGAGATCTTCCTACCAAGCGTGGTGACTTAAGTCTGTTTTGGTATGGAAGTGGTTTTTGTAAATTGTTTCTACCAAGCGTGGTGACGTAAGTCTGTTTTCGTATGAAACTTATTTTTAGTTCCCTCAGACATGGTGACTTTTATCTGTTCTGGTTTGGAACTGGGAATGGGTACTTTCAGACGTGGTGACTTATGTCTGTTCTGATAAGTAGTCTTGTTTTGATGGAGGAATAAGAGTGGTATATTAAGGAGGGGTGTCTTTTGGAATAAGAGTGTCAATTGTGTGTGAATATTATAACTCCTACTATTATGTCTTTTAAGACTACAATGGATTTGAGTCCTTACTTCTTTGTGATTTGAGAACTCAAAGATATTGTTCTTATTAGAAATAATGGTATTGATGTTATTAGGAAAGGGAAAACTTGGCCTATGGCCATTAGTATTGGTTAAAAGTGTTTTGAAACAGAATGGTTATTT